TGAGACAGAGGCCAAAGACAACTCGGAAATGGCCTATTGAGCTCAACACCTTGAATTTAAGTGTTTTATATTTGACCTTACCAAGTTTGACCGGAATCAAACTACTCGCAAAACCGAAATTGGCGTCCAGTTAAATTGTTGATTAGGCAGTACGTAGTAAGAATAAGCGGCTTATTCATCAACTGTCGTGAACGTAGTAGCCGCAGTCACCGGTCTTTCTCCTTCAGCGAGAAATTCAGCGGCGTTTGCCTCCATACATGCGCGATAGCCTTCTCTATGGTAGGCCGTGAACATGGCCGGTGTGAAAAACTGATTTCCAGTTGAATGCTGTGGAAACGCCCCGCACATCGATTCTGACAAGCCACGACAGTTGGAACCATGACAACATTCGCAACAACAAAACGTCAAGCGATCAGCCTCCTCTGCCGTCATCTGTGGCCCAGGTCCCCAGAGGCCAGCCTCGAGATCACCATCAATGTCACGCAGCACCTCCCCCCAGGGCTCGTATGTTTTCTTCTGCGCGCTCTTGTCGGGGTGTCTGGGGGCAATAAATAGTATTTCACCCTCACCAACCATAGTTCTGCTACCGTCATCGGGATCCTTGTCAAAGTACTGCACTTTGAACCTGAGAGTGAGAGAGTATCCATTAGTTCTTTTTGACAACAGGGTCGAGCACAGGTTTTTTCATTCCCGCATCCCGCCACTATTTATGGCTCAATCCCTCAATCCCACAAGCCAGTCCTAGTCAGAATATCTATCTCGATCCCGCTTGGTTATAGTCATAGTTCTCCGCGTTACGTCTGTGACGTGCGATTTTCCCTTTCTTTATCCAGCATCCTGCCGTCAATTTTAAAACTATCCCGCATCCCGTCTGTCAAAATGAGTAAATCCCGTTCCCGCCGAAATATTATTATCCCACATTCCATTCATGTCATCCCGAATCCCGCCATCATTTTGACTCTTATCCCGCATCCCGCCCTGAACGGCATGGTAGCTAGCTTGCGAAACTGAGCAGCCTTTCTTTGTCTGACTGTTGCTACCCGCAGGGGTGTTTGGTCAGGGAAGGGTCCACTGGTGGTTGGCAATGAAGATATCGTACAACTCTGTACATTTAGGACACTCCTACTGGTCCCCCTTTGACCGTGCTCGACCTGGATAAAGGCAGAGAAGATAGCATTGCATGGTCTGGTTTCAGGTTTTCGTCAGTGGAGTACCTGAGTGGCAAGCTTACTCCAGTTTCTCTAGGGTTTCCTACCCCACCCCCCATCCTTCTTCTCCACAGCCCATTAGCCACTATTTCGGGCTATCGTACGAATCTTCGGAGTTCCCTGAAAACAGATTACTAACCTGTAACTGGATGGCTGTGAACCAGGAGGTTTCTCCACAAAGTTGTCCCGTATGTCCTCAGCAATATCCCTTCCATTCATGGCTGAAAACGAACAACCTAACTTTTTCCGGGCCATGTCTAGACCCGCCAGTAACGTTTCTCCATAGTCTTCGTCGGAAATTGTCCGACCACCGTTAACAGCGACAATCTTTTTCAGCCTCAACTTAAGCAGGGGCAGAATACCAAGGTTTTCAATATGGCCACCGTCACTTAGACGCAGCACCGGCGGGGGATTGGGACCTTGGTTTATCATGCCGATGGTCTTACGAACAAAACTGACGTAAGCAACGTTAATCGTGAACCACCTGTAGTGAAATGAAGGCCAGTGAAATTCTGTGCTCGTATGAGCTACAATGACTTTTCAGAAAAAGCGAAAGATTTGCCATTTACCGATTCGTGCCAGGAGTCCATCACTAAGAGCGTGCAACTACCCCATATTCCTGTCACGGCGTTATCATAGACCGATCAATTTTAGTTTGAATTTACTTGACCACGAACTTAGGCCCCCGCAGGAACCTCAGTGACCAATCACAAGCACGGACTTAATTTTTAACTGACGTCATCATTTCACCGGAAGATTTTTTCCTTACCGTTTTGCGCTCACGTAGATTGCAACTGACCTATTTCGCGGGAAAGAAGCTTAAAAAATAGACCAGTTTGTAAAAATGCCTTGACATTAGCTTAGTATGGGAGTTACACGCTCCTAGTGATGGGCTCCTGTTCGTGTCTTATAATGCGTCACACCAAGAAAAAGTTGTCGAGAGCACAAGCTTGAAAGGTCGTCTGATATCTATTAGGGAATTAGATGTTACCCAGGATTACCTAACTAGTTTACGTTACGAGGGCATTAGACTATGTCCGGGGGGGGACTCCCTTATGAAAAGGTCGGGATGCTCCTCGTCTCGCTTAGGGGCATAAATCAGTGATTCTGGTCTCGCTTAAGCTCGATTTCTGCCATTTTAAAGAGTTTGGTTTACTAGTGCAAGCTCCTTTTCTGAACAGCGGAAGCCTATTCCGTTTTAAGCGGCATCCATTTCCATTCTTATAATACTCGAAGCAAATCCAATTTTTACTTACCGCGAGTTAGACGCAATTATGGAAAACAGCGCCTTTTATATGAAGGAATAGCAGATTGGAACCGTCTTGGCAAATTAATACGTGACATGAGGTCACTTTTACTTTTTGAGCAAGCCCTGAAGACCGCAGTTTTTTTAAACACGTTTTTATCCTGTAATTTTATTGAACATTTTAATATTGTATTTTTTAACTTTCAATATTTTTAACTATTTCAAATTAAACATGTTTTTTTTTTGCAGGGCCTCACTGGATAACACCTTTAGTGATGTGAGCTCCTTGGTTAAATAACATTATTATTATCATTATCATTATTATTATTATTGTATCTTTTAGGAGTCAAATAAAGCTCGAGCCACACCCAGATTGGTCTTCTTTACGGGGTTTAATTCAAATTTTCTGACGAGCATCCCTGACCCTTTTTATATGGACATTCCCTTCCCAGGGATTATGTCTCAATTCTCGAAGCAAGGGGCTAATCTACTGGGCAATGACATGTAACAATTTTTAACACAGAGCAACAACGTAACAATCCTGGACCAGCACTTGAATGATAAGGCCTCGATTACTTTAATATAGTTCAGTAGATACGGGTTTGCATTACCTGGCAATTCTCTCAAGTCTTCCAGGATTTTTGCTGCCAGTCCCTACGAGGGCAGTCATCGTCAAAAACGTCAGTATGGCAAAGAAGCTTAATATACCGATAGCCAAGAATGGTTCTTTTCCAGTTTCCCAATAGAGGGCGAGACATACAATTAACGGCAGGACACGACCCAACTCTATAAGAATCGGTAACGTCTGGAAACAAATAAAGGAAAAAAAAAGAATAAGTTACAAAAAAGAAGATACAAAGGAACTAGGCAACTCGTTATCCAACGATAGACTTTTTACAGTTAATTCATAATAAATTCATTATTCACAGTGATCTTTAACGCAATCATTACAACTGTAAACTAAAATGTCGTTCGACACCACGAAAAAGATTAATCAAAACCAGCTTTAGGCTCATTTGGTGTCGTATAGTGTCCAAGGCTCTGCTTGCAGTCAGCAATTGTGTTTTTGGACCCCAGACGGATGTGGACTGTTTTGATTCTTACGACTGGTCTGAACGTCGCCACATTTCACAAGCAAGCATTTTTGGATGTTTGAATAAAATACTTTTTATGTTTATTCTCACCTGAACACAGCAATTTCTCTTCGCTTCGTGTCTCGCGTCTGCAAGAATCGCCGTCCCCATGGCAACTCCAAGCATGACCTTTAAATCTCTAAAGGACGCGTCATCACTTTGCCTCGCTCCCATGTGATGGTCGACAGCAGCAGCTGACGTCGCCATGGCATCTGACAGAAAAATATCCGTCGGCATCAACTTGCCATCAAACTCTGGTTCGCCAGGTTGCCGGTCAAGTCGCTCAATGCCGTTTGGCGACATTATCAACAGTTCATAATCAGGTTCTCTGAGGGAGGTGGTGCGGCGCCACTTGTTGATTGTAATGCCGCCTATGTAGATTGGCTTGACGTCATCAATGTCCTCCAAGGTCAGAGCCTGGGTAAGGTTCATTCCCATGAGCCTCCTGGGTCGACATGTTGGGCAGCGTAGGAAGAGGTCCCGCCACGAAATCCCGGCACAACCACACGACCCGCGGCTTGCTCGTGTGTAGAGTGCTCTTTGAATACGCCATCTGTGAATAAAATTAGGCCAAGTCTACTGGATAGAGCAAATGGTTTGTGCAAAAACAAAAATGATTGTTTTCCATCTAGTCTATTTAAAGTGCACCTAACCCCCCAATTTTTTTTTCGCTAGAACGAATCTACTTATTATTTGAAATAGTTCTNAGTTAATCTCGCTTGTTTTTAACCTTTAATTAAAACGCCCTGGAGACTTATTTATCTGTAATGAAGTGATGGTTTTGCCATTTAGATCCACGGAAGTAATGTTTTCGCCAACCTTACATTTCACAGCGAGTATTTGACTAACCGTAATAAACTAAACTCAACTGTGACGTGGTCCCTTTTAAGGGACACGCAAAAAAAAAAAACACCAGTCAAAATTACCTGTTATACACGTGACCTATACGCTGCTGTATCGTTCCTACAACAGGGGCACTCCACAGCAACAGGGTGGAAATCCACATCAGCTTGGTAAAGATATCTTCATCATATTCTAGGTCGAACACTTTGCCGTTATACACTCGCCAGTAAATAACAAAGGAGTAGGCATAGATCACCAGTACAAGGGTGGCATTTCTGCGCATGGTCGGGAACGCGAACCAAAGCAGGAAAGTGGGTAATATGATGAGGATCTTCATCCAATTTGGAATTAAATCCAAAAAATTTTGAATAAACCACGGAAGGAACACCAAGCCAAAGAAGACGAAACCGGACGTGGAAATGAAATTGAAAAAGCCTTTTCCTTTAGGAAGAAACCCTGCAAGAAAGCTGCAGATCAGGGCTATGGCCACGGGAATCGCGAACAGAGCAAATTGCTGGTTGATGACAGCAGATGTATAACGTTCCTCCTCGCAGTCCCTTAATTTTATGTTTGGACTGTTTTTCGCAAGTTTTCTGCAAGGCTTAGCACCACCTCTCAGGATTCTTCCAAACAGGAACTCGATCACAAAGGCTAGTGGACATGCGTAGGAAGACCATAGGAGTACAGGGATAATCAAGGCAACGAAGATAGTCATTGTGAACAAAATAATGGCGTCCAGGAGTCCTTGACACGGCTTCTGCCAGTTACAAAAGATTCCGCTTCTGCTGCGCATGTGCTCGAAGAACTGCTTATGCCATTCGGGATCATCTTTCTTTCCATGCCTGTATTTCCAGTCCACATATGACGTGCCTGTGTAACCGCCCCCAGACACGCAGCTCAGGTAATCTATATTGGCTTTCTTCTGCAGAAGCCTGCGCAGGACACCGGAGCATAAGGACGCTGACCGGATACCGCCACCGGAAAACGCCAGGCCAACCCTTGCCATAGTGCGATCACAATGTTCCTTATTTGTGTTTCTACTGGAAGGAAAAATAATTGATAAGGTTGCTTACTCTTGTTCTAACCCTTGAAAGTTGAGGGATAGTACGATGGTACGACAGTTTTCTTTCATTTGCCTATGTCCATTCACCGGTCACCTCCTCTACTTTAAACAAATTTCGAAAAAAAAAAATTAAAGTGAACAGGCAACTTTACAGACTAATTTTCATAGCCGACTGCGACAGCGGAACAGTGCAAACCGATAAAACAGTCCGTAGGAAAAAAAGCACCAGTCACTATGACAAATCTTTTTAAATGCTCCTTTGACTGTTGCAAAGGTGCTTCAGGAGTTAAACTTTTCTGTAATTTTGTAGTACAGGTTTTTAAGCTTTTTTCTTGAGGTGGGATGTTTGCGATTTCACGTTTTCTCTTTCCAAAAGGAAGTTGAACCACATTATTTTTCCGCAATCGCAAGCCGCCAGAGATTAGCTCTAATTTGTTTACCAATTTATTCGTTTGTGCTAACTTATTTATTTATTGAAATCCTCGCCCGTTGACGGGCGTAAAATAATGCAACAGTGGAATATCGCAACAGCTCACCACAATCACACGCAAGTGATGTGGAACAGCGGCCTTAATTAAATACCGACCTATGTCATGTACCATACTTGGAATGTAACTTACAGATTTGAATAGGGTTTTGTGAGTGCGAAATTATACTTAAGGAGAGAAATGAAGGAAACAAAGTCAAGCGAAAAAGGTGAAAATGGGTGAAAAATGGCAAAACTCCAGAAACTAAACACAACATATGTAAATTGCATCACAAAGCGCCGTCACATTCTTTTACGTTAAATTCTCAGTATGTTAATAAAAAAAAAATGCAAAGAATTAGTTTCAATCGCCATTGGCTCTGTTTGTCTTTGTTTTCACTCTGTTTTGTCAAGGCCCACAATAAAAATCTTTTGTTCTATGGGAACACGGCGATAGTGATATCATAGAGTTGTTTCCCGCTTAACGTTCTGGAACGGAGAAAAGGGAGAGCCGTTAACGTTTGTTTACATGACTACTCGACCCTGTTTGTCATGTAATTGTGCCGCAAACTCACACACTTCGCTTTTTATTGCAGCTTCTGCTCGGGGTCAAAAAAGGACTATGGACTGTTAAGACTGATAAATAAAGATGATCTTCCATATATTCACTTGTACTGATAAATAAAATTTACGTTTCTCAGAAAGCGTGAGGTTATGTAAGAGACTGAGTCATTCGGCGTGATATTATACAAAGATTGTGATAGAAAGCTTACGGCCGCATCGTGAACTGCTTGTCTCTACCGACCCTGTTAAAACTAAGCCTGATATCCTGTTAACTTTACCTTACCTTCAGTCCTCTTCCAAAGCAAGTCCAACGACGTTTAATCAGTTGACGTTCTCCGCGTGTTAGAGATTCGCGTCAGTGAGCAATACAAGACGCGTCAAAGGTCACAGTCGACTTCTCTTGACGCTTATTTATATTCAACATTCTTTTAAAAAGCGCATCGGATATGAAGCGACAACTAACGCCCCAAATGTCTCAGCATAAACAAATGATCACGACG